TTACCCCGAGTGGCCCGCTGTAGGGAGCCAGCAATGCTCAGCTGGGCCACGGAAGACTCTCCTCTGGGACCCCAGTGTCAGTAGCCCAGAGGCCTGTGTGTCTTGTTCACTCTTATTCCAACCTCTCAACATCATGCCTAGCACACAGCTGGGGCCCAGGGAATATTCACTGAATAAAAGAGCAGATGAGAGCACTTAGGAGAACTTGTCCCTTGAATTTGAGGCAGGAAGTGAATAGGGCTAAGAGGCTGTGCACACTCCCTTCCCCACGTAAGGTGGGTGGCCTCACAGAGCAATTCACTATGGTCTCAGCCACCACCTTCCTCTTCTCCTCCTGCCCAGGGCTCCTCTGTCCATCACTTTTGCCTCAGCCTTCCCAGACATCAGCTCCTGTATTCCTGACCCCTCTCTCCACAGGATCCCTGCCTTAGTGTCAAACCGTGCTTAAAACACTGTGTGTTTAAAATCAAACAGGCCAGGCATCATGGCTCCTGCCTGTGCACTCTGCAAGGTCGAGGCAGGAGGATCACTTGAGCTCAGGAGTTTGAGACTAGCCTGAGCAAAAGTGAGACCTTTTCTCTACTAAATACAGAAAAACTAGTTGGGCTCAGTGGCACACACCTGTAGTCCCAGCTTCTCGGGAGGCTGAGGCAGGAGGATTGTTTGAACCCAGGAATTTGAGGCTGCTGTGAACTATGATGATGCCATAACACTCTACCCGGGGTGACAGAGTAAGACTCTGTCTCAAAAATAAGTAAATAAATAAAATAAAACATAAATCAAACACAAAGAAACCCAAACCAAACTGATCATACTCTCCTAATTCAAAACCCAGCTCCAGTAATGTCCTCTCTTCTTTTCTGCTAAGCCAAGGCTTAAAAATCGGTGATAACCCTCACTCAGGGTCTCTGCTTCCTCACACCCCAACAGTCCTCAAACACTAGTAAATTTCTTCTTGACCCCTTCCACTCAGCCTCTGTCACTCAAGTCACCAAAACGGCCCCTCTGTTACTATGTCTGGTCATGCTGTCATTCCTATCTCCCTGGTGGCATTGGACTATCTCCTGGCCTGGACCTCTGGGGCGCTCCTTCCCCCGGTTCCCTCCCAGAACCCCTCCACTGACTTCTCCACCCTCCCTTGGTGCTGTGGCCTAGGGTCTTGCTCTCTCCCCTGGGTGGTCTCATTTCCTGACACCTCAGCCCCAGCCTAGGTGAGACCCCTTCCCTTCACATCACCTTGCCTGTTCCTTCTCCTGGTCAGTTGGTGACTGATTCCTTAACTGTCTGTCTCCTGAGCTGGCTTGAGAGCGCCCAGGGCAGCAGGATCAGCTCTGTAGCCCTAGTGCTGTGCACAGTGCCAGGCTACCCTAGGCAGGGCCAGCTACAGTTACCTAATTTCAAGGTCCAAGGAAAAATAAAAATGAACACATACCTAGCTGAAAAATAGAGAATTTGGATGGCAACAGAAGAGCACGACACCACATGTGGGGCCCTTCTGACAGTGGGACGCCGCCGCTGCACAGGGCACGTGTGAGCGCCCCTAACACGGGCTGATGGACAAACAGCTCCAGCAAGCACAGATGCTGACGACCCAGCCCCGCTTTCCAGCCCGCACAGCTGTGCTCTGCGCCAGCCTGGGCCAGCGCTGCCCACGGACACGTCCACGTGGTTCTCGCTGGCCTCACTCAACAAGGTGCAGAATGAATGACCCAGCCCAGCCCAGATCTGCCTTCCTGCATCCCCGTCTCAGGGGAGGATACTGTTTTCTACCCATTGTGGATCCCAGAAGCCACACAGACGTTCCAGGTCCCTCACTTCTCTCGCTCCCCCCTCCAGACGGGTGGCTGGTCCCACAGACGTGCCTCCTTGTCCGGGTGACGCTCTCCCCTGATTCCTCCTGGTCACTGCCTTTTCTGGTTTCTGCTGGAGCTTGCCTGCTAAGGAGCTCCCTGCTGCCCCCCGCCCCACACTCCACAGGGCCACAAAGCTGAGCTCAGGCGTCACTGACTTTATGCCACAGTCCCAACCCAAACCCTCGGCTGCTTTTCGGCATTTCCGGTTTCTTCGTTAGCTTCCTGACCGTGTTTCCGGCTCAGCCCCACTCT